GCCCACCCTTGTCCGAGACGCTCCTCCAGAAGGATTTAGTCCGCTTTTCCTCTGAAGAGCCCAGAAGTGCTGTTGGTTATGGCCGAAGTGTGAGGCGAGCCCAGTGTGCATGCTTTGAGTTTTTTTCCTGCTGATACGGACTTTACCTTCTGTAAAATCACTTCCCAGAAGGTCGTTGTATTTCTTCAGACCTTCCTTCCCTCTCTCCGAGCAATAAGTTTTCTATATTCTTCTATCTTCTTTAAAGACCCAGAATCAAATCTCAGCTTGCAGAGGTGTGCCTGTTTGCTTTTCATGGAGTGTTATCATATTATTACTGTGACTATTTGTATAAATACACAGTATTCTCACTTGCTTCCTATTTTGCCTGCAGATACTTCCTGTTTCTTAGCAGATAGGTTCTGTGCCAGGTGTGTGTGTGTGCGGGCAGGGCGGGGGTGTGGACGGGGTGCTGGGGTCGGTGCCCCCTCCTTCAGCCGGAAGAACTCGCGATCTCGTCAGAGGCTGCAGGAGCCTGCTGGGCGCCTTCGGGGCCAGGTGCCGCTCCTGGGAGGCTGCTGCGGGCACCTCGCGCCTCCCGGCTCAGCCTCCAGCTCTGGAACGTCCTTGGTGTGTCCTTGAGAGGCTTCCTGGCTGCCAAGGGGCACGGTCCTCGGCTTGGACCCTCAACTGACCCCCCTGTGACTGACCTGCGGTGGGTCCTCTCTGCCCCCGCGCCCACCCCCTTCCGAAGTCCAGACACCGAGGCCTCATCTGTCAGTCTTCTCAGGACCTTTCATGATGCAGGCTTTTTTTTTTGAAGACTCTCAGGTGTTATTCTTTTCTTACTATTTGGATTTTCAAGAGAACTCATCTCCCCTTCCTGGGTTTTGAACAAATTGAGAAATAAAACAAAACAGTGGCAGATGGAGACCGAAGAATAATTTTTATTTCTTCTGAATGAGAAGCTTGAAGTCCTATCTTAGTGTGAGAGCCAAATAAACCGGCGGACTGAATCTGGGGGGCTGACCCTCTGTGTCGGAGCTGGCCCTGGGCCCGGGCAGGCTCCCCGCGTGTGGCAGAGCCGTGCTGGGGAGCAGCCTTCCCGGGGGAGCGGCCGGTTCTGAGAGCTGGGCGGAGGGCTGGGCCTACTGGTGGTCTCGACTCTGGGAGTCGCGGGTGGTCGGTCGCTTTCTTGGGGCCAGTGTTTCTGGGGATGGAGAATGGGCAGGAGAGGCAGCGGCCGGACCCCCTCCGCCTGGAAGCTGAGCCCGGGTTTGAGGGCCGCTGTCCCCAACTCCTTCAGCTGGCTATCTGCATAACCGTCAGGTTCCCGCTCAGCCAGGGACATGGTGCCCCCGTAGAGCCCGCCGCCTCTAGGGACAGGCCGGCCCCCAGCGGAACCCCTGCTCCTCTGAGTATCCTCCTGGGTCTGCGGGGAGGGGGTGTCTGAGCCTGGTCCTGACGGCTTTGGAGCTCGTCAGACCTGAACAGTAATGCAGTAATCTGTAAGGCCTCTACCTGAGACTGCAGAACCACTCTTAGGTTATTTCTCATCCTTAAATACGTCCAGCCTGACTGCTTCCGCCGGCTCATCGGAAATGCTGCCGTGAGGTGAGATGACAGCGTGGAAGCTTCCAGCTACGCAGCGTGTCCCGAATTCAAGTGTGAATCTCCTCTGTCACCCAAGTTCCGGAGAGAAATCAAGTCTTTAAGGGCTAACCCTGGCAAGTTTAAGTCCAAAACCAGAATTCCTCTGCCCGTGAACGTTTAGCTGCATGGCAGCTTTGGCTCCATGCCGCTGCCTGTCTCTGCCGGAGGGGCGGCCGGGGGTGTCTCTAGACGCGTGCAGGCCTTTCGGGGCCTAGCGCTCCTGTCCACTCAGCACCGGTCTGTGACAGCCCTCCCTTCCCCAGACTTCAGTGTAGCGAGACCCACCAGCTTGTCACCCTGTCTACAAAGCACATCCTTCCAGTCCCGTGGGGCAGCCGCCCCGGAGTGGGTCCCCCTACGTGGAGCCGAGCAGAGCGCACGTGAGGCCTGGGTGCCTCCCGCTGGAGTGGCCCTCGTGGAGACGTGACAGCCTGGGATCCAGGGCCTGTCACTTGAAATCCACGCGGGAGAAACCGCAGCAGGAAGTTAGGTCTGAGTCCGCTCATTTTCCATTTCTGTGGGGAAAAGATCGTGGTTGCCTTGTAAGCAGTGGCCGCGGCTCCTACGCTAGTCAGGAAAGATGTGTGTGTGTGTGTGTGTGTTTGTGCCCGTGTGTGTACACATGCTTGTATGTGTACGAGTGTGTGTGTGCCCATGTGTGATTGCACATGCTTGTGTATGCATGTGTGCACACGCATGTGTACATGTGTTTGTGCCCATGTGTGTTTATGCATGTTTGTGCATGATTGTGTGTGCCTGTGTGTACACATGCTTGTGTGTGCGTGTGCATGTGTATGACTGTGTGCCCGTGTGTGTGCACGTGCTTGCGTGTGTTCCTGTGTGTGTGTGCACGTGCTTGCGTGTGTTCCCGTGTGTGTGTGTGCACGTGCTTGCGTGTGTTCCTGTGTGTGTGTGCACGTGCTTGCGTGTGTTCCTGTGTGTGTGTGCACATGCTTGTGTGTGTTCCTGTGTGTGTGTGCACGTGCTTGCGTGTGTTCCTGTGTGTGTGTGCACACGTGCTTGCGTGTGTTCCTGTGTGTGTGTGCACGTGCTTGCGTGTGTTCCTGTGTGTGTGTGTGCACGTGCTTGTGTGTGTTCCTGTGTGTGTGTGCACACGTGCTTGTGTGTGTTCCTGTGTGTGTGTGTGTGCACACGTGCTTGTGTGTGTTCCTGTGTGTGTGTGCACACGTGCTTGCGTGTGTTCCTGTGTGTGTGTGCACGTGCTTGCGTGTGTTCCTGTGTGTGTGTGCACGTGCTTGCGTGCGTTCCTGTGTGTGTGTGCACGTGCTTGTGTGTGTTCCTGTGTGTGTGTGCACGTGCTTGCGTGTGTTCCTGTGTGTGTGTGTGCACGTGCTTGCGTGCAGACACATTAAGCCCAGAGAATGCTGACAGTGCAGGAGCCCCTGGGTGCCACGTCTGACTGCTCGGCCTCGGACATCACTGCTGGCGTGAAGGTCGTCCTCTCCTCCTGGCTGTGTCTCCTGGAGCCCTCCCCCCACCCAGATCCCGGGGCAGGTGGTGTGGGGGTGCTGCTCCCACGTCCCCATCCCCTTCCACCTATGTCTCCCTGAGGACAAGCCGTCATCTCCCAGCACCAGCCCAGCGCACGCCTGCCTGAACCAACGGGACCCACTCACTCATATTCAAGGACCCACAGGCACAGCGCCTCGTGGCTTGAAACCACACGGATTTGTCATTTCACAGTCGTGGAGGTCATGTACGGACGTGAGAGTTGGACCATGAAGAAGGCTGACCACCGAAGAATTGATCTTTTGAACTATGGTGTTGGAGAAGACTCTTGAGAGTCCCTTGGACAGCAAGGAGATGAAACCAGTCCATCCAAAGGAAATCAGTCCTGAGTGTTCATTGGAAGGACTGATGCTGAAGCTGAAGCTCCAATGCTTCGGCCACATAATACGAAGAACTGACTCATTGGAAAAGACGCTGATGCTGGGAGGGATTGAGGGCAGGAAGAGAAGGGGACGACAGAGGATGAGATGGTTAGATGGCATCACTGACTCGATGGACATGAGTTTGAGCAAGCTCTGGGTGATGGTGAAAGACAGAGGAGCCTGGTGTGCTGCAGTCCACGGGGTCACAAAGAGTCAGACACCATTTAGCGCTTGAACAACAACAGCAAGTTCTGGAGGTTAGAAGGTGGACCTGCCCTTGGGGCGGGGTGGCCGGGGCAAGGTGTGGATCAAAGTGTGGGCCGGGCCACTTCCTTCCTGGGGCTCCAGGGGAGAGCTGCTCCCTGGCCTCTGTCCAGCCTGCTTTGCTGGTCTGCTGGCCCCTCCATCCGTCCTCCAAGTGGGGACCGATGTCGTCACTTCTCTGATGCTGACGCTTCTGCCTCCACATCTGAGGGCCCCGGCCACACCGGGCCCACCTGGGTGACCCGGGTGCTTGCCCTGTTCCAGTTGGTTGATTAGCAACCTTCACCCGCACCGCCACCCCCACCCTGCAGGGAATCAGGCCCTGGGTATTTGGTGGGGTCACTGCCCCGCCTCCCGTAATCGCCCAGTGCAAGCCTGTCGCTGCAGGAGTGCAGCGGAGGCCCCTGGGGGCTGCTCTGTGGGGTGCCCTGGGGCAGGACGTGGCAGGCGCCACCTTCCTCCCCTGCCAGCGTGTGTTGTCTGGTCATGACAGTGGGGGCACCGGGCCTCCTGTTCCTGAAGCCTTGGTGCCTGCTGGTGACCGTGCCTCCTCGAAGCCTCGGAGCAGTCCCACAGGCAGCGTTGCCATTCTCATTATAGATGATGCCGCTGAAGCCCAGAGAGGTGCTGTTCCTTGCTAATGTCACACAGCATCTAAGGCATCGAGCTGGGCTCTCGGTCCAGGTCTGCCCCTGCCCACTGGCTGCGCTGGTTTTCCTGTCTTAGTTTAAGAACTTCTTCACCTGAGTGCCTGAGGCTGAAGCCCCCTGGTCCCTCCGTGCTCACATCGTAACCGTGTCCTCAGCCCTTGGATGGCAGGCCTGACGCGGGTAGCGCCAGCAGGTCCCTGGTTCCCATTAGCTCCCCTGCAGTCTGAGCGCACTCTGCCCTTCTGCTGGCCAGAGCAACTCCGGGCAGACTCTGCCCCTCAGCGAGCTGTCTCTTCCATTTAAATGTAAATCTCTACCTTTACATATAGAAATGTCCCAGTAAATACTCCCCAGAGTGGGTGACATGGGGAAGCTTCAGAGTTCACCTCCCGGCTCAGCCTGCACACGTGTGGTGTGACGCGGCCTCATGCTGTGTGCGTGGGTCACTTTGTGAATTCGTTCTCTTGTCAAACGGTCCGCCTTCGTCCCCACTGCCTGTTCCCCTTTGGAAAGCCGGTTTTATCCTCCATGCATATGATATTCCCTGTTATTTTCCCCTCAGGACAACTATACATTCGCCCAACCTGGGATTCAGATGAAAGTGAAGATGTTGGAAGAGCTTGTGAGCCGCATTGACGGTAAGCCCGCGTCCGGAGCACCCCTCTTCTTGGGAGGCGGGGGAAAAAGGGGTGGAAGGCTCACCCGGTTATCCTGGGACCCCCCCACCCCACCCCTGCTGTGCCTTCTGCTGGGGCCACCTGGGCGCTGCTGGGGCCGGAGCCATTCCCGTTCCCTTTATGAAGGCGATATAATCAGAGTTCAGCGCCGTCCCTTCACAGGAAGTAACGAGTGCATCCTCGAAGCAGGCAACTCTCACTCTTATTAAAGCCGGCGGCAGTCATCACCCAGCGGCAGCCTGGTTGTTTATGGCCGGCCTCTGGCCCAGTGTTCCTTCCTCTGCACGTCATTTTGCTATCAAGGATGCTGGCGTAATTTCTCCACGGAATCCAATTAATTAACGAGTTGGAAAATAACATCTTTAATATTACAGAAAAGTCATAGTGTGTGCCCGGCCATTTTCGATTACGTTTTCATGTGTAAGTGGGGGCTTTGAAATACTTTCTACCTTCGTCCTTAAAATAATTCCCCCTGTGATGTGCTGACTGTCACATTGCAATAGCAGGGTTTAATTAAATGAATGTTGAAAGATGATGCTGGCCCATTCCAAGCGTACCCTCCTGAGCGTTTGTTAAATTAATGAGCAGAGCGTTAACGGAGTGATACCATGCAGAACCGGGTGTGGGCCTGTGACACCAGGTGGTCAGCCGCGCTGTGCCGGGGAGAGGCAGACTCTGTCACCCTGAGCCCCACGTGACCTCGACGGGTGACTTCACCGAATCTGCAGAGATGTCGCACTCCGCTTCAAGCGGAGACACGCCGCCCGCCGGCGTTCCAGGGCCGCCTTCCAAGGGTGTGGATGTCCCCTTTGCCCTTGCTGTTCCCTCAGCAGCAGACAGCGTATCCGTCCCCATCTTCCCAAGAAAGAGTCTTTTTTTGGGAAACGATCGAATAACATTATAAAACGGAGTCATACAAATTATCAACTCCATTCTGTCCCTTGATTGAATCTGATTTTCAGCTGTGTCTAATGGTTATGACCTAATTTCCATATTATGAAGTTCTGTACGGTTCTTCCAATAATACTTTATCTGATTCAGTATATTTAGCGGCTTGGCAGCCACCTATTCACAGCACAGTTTTTTTGCTTATGTAACTGCATTTATATACATTTGTTCTTAACTTCGCGGGGACATCTTTGTCAGATGCTGTTGGGTTTTTTTGCCTGCCATCAGCTTCACACCTCCCCGCACCCCCCCAGCCTCATTTGGATCTTTGAAGTACGACGTGCAGGAGCCGTGAATTACACTTAGTGGTTCCTCTCCTGTTTCTCCAAGAAGGTGGATTTCGCATTTCAGCGGAGGTTGGAAACGTGTGGTTAGTGCTCACTTGTTCCAGGCCGCAGTTCAGGGATGCCTGAATCGACTTTCTCTGGTGCTGTGGTTCAGAAGCAGCACATCAGAGATTCGCTGGGTGATTGTTTAAAAGAGCACCGATAGCAACCGAAGGAATCCTGGCCAGGCCTGGGCTTTTTAGTAAACCCGTGTTTTTTATTTAGTTTTTATTTTCCCGTGGCTTCTGAGGAGGGCAGTTTCATCCTGCGGTGGTTCTGTTTAAGTGATTGGTGCCTCACACCCTGTTCGGTAGCAGGTTAAGCTAGCCAAGTCTGTAACTCGTCTTCCAGCCAGACCTGAAAGAGCCTCTGTGACGGCCTCAGAAGAATTGCTGGGCCTTTCAGGCAGAAAGTGTCGGCACTCCTCCTCAGCAGCAGCCCCTGGGAGAGGCGTCCCAGGCCCCCCTCGCTCACGGTCCTCATGAAGGACGACTCTGTGGGCTTGGACTGCGGGGGGCAGTGCGGATGGTGGGGGGGCCGCAGAAGGGGCCGGAAGGTTAGGGCAGGGTCGGGGTCACTGTCTCATCTTCTCGCCGTGACGACTGGCTAAAGACTTTCTGGGAAGCACTCTCAGGCAGTTTTCTGATTTGAGTCGTGCTTTACTCCACTCTCTGTTGCCCCCAAATCTTTAGAAAGAGTCTGCTCCGTAGACAGAAATCTGGCATGACTGAGGAGAGAACGTTTTGTCTGTAATGGAGGCCAGGTGGAAGGGTGTTGGGCAGTGGCCTGAGAGACTGCCTGTCGGGTGGTAATCGTCTCGAGAGAGGGAGGCTGGCTAATGAGAAACGCCAGGGGAGTCACCTCTGATCTTTGAGCAGCAGTTTTAGAACTTCCCACAGAATGAGAGGTGGAGCCTTGAGCCACTAAATTGGGGATATAAGAGGTGAGGGCAGGGGGACTTCCACTTCTAGTGGCGATGGGCAAAAACTCCAACCAGATTTCTCACCCAGGAGACCGCAACAATGGATAAGATTATTTTTTGAAGCCAACAAACAAGCAAATTGGGTTGGGGGTAGAAGGAAAGAGGGAGAAGGCAATGGCACCCAATTCCAGTCCTCTTGCCTGGAAAATCCCATGGACCGAGGAGCCTGGTGGGCTGCAGTCCATGGGGTCGCTGGGAGTTGGACACGACTGAGCGACTTCACTTTCACTTTTCACTTTCATGCATTGGAGAAGGAAATGGCAACCCACTCCAGTGTTCTTGCCTGGAGAATCCCAGGGACGGGGGAGCCTGGTGCGCTGCCGTCTACGGGGTTGCACAGAGTCGGACACGACTGCAGTGACTTAGCAGCAGCAGAAGCAGAAGGAAAGAGAGAAAAAAAGCAAAGAAAGAAGGTAAAACGAAAAACATTTCTTAAAAGCATTGAACTGCTAACAAGGAGACAAAAATTTCCTGGCCCTCTTCTGTGAGAATTCTGTGAGAATGCTAGCTTTGTTTCTCTTTTTTTTTTCCGTGTAAAATGATCTATGCATACTCAAAGCTAAGTATGTATTCAAGACCTCTTAAGTGAGAACAAACAGGAACAACAGATAACAAGGCCCACACGTTTCTGTAATTCTTACAAGCCCAGACTGAAGGCCACTATTGTCCTGAGGGTACTTGTTTCCAGAAGAAATAATCCCAACGGGGTTTGTAGTTTTGACAGCTTCATGGAGGGAGAGGGTTACACCCTAGCCTGCCCAAGAAGGGGAGTGCAGGAAATGCCCAGGTGCTTGCTGAGACCCAGAGCCTGACCCTCAGGGTAGAGCTGAAGTGAAACTGCCCTCTTACAATCTTGCAGGCCAAGCTATATCACCGGAGAGGGCCAGGATTATTTGAACCTTGATTATGGTACTTCTCTACTGTAGTAGAGTGCTTCAGAGAAGCAAAACACAATCTTTCCTGAAAGAAGTTACCAGAAAGTTGTCCATCAAATTGTTTCTCTCTCTCTCTCTCCTTTTTTCATGTAAAATGATCTGCACATAGTCAAAGTTAAATACATGTTCAAAACTTCTTAAGTGAGAACAAATGGAAACAACAGGTAACAAGGTCCACAAGATGTTAAGTTTCTGTAATTCTTAGGCATAGGCCATGAAACTATTCTCTGTACTGTGTATGAAGAAATATAAAATAGAGAGTCTTCAAAATATTTGCCCAGCTAATGAGAAACTATTATGATTTTACATGAGAGGTGAAAAATATGATAACCAAATTGAAAAGTCAGGGTACAGATTTAACAAATTAGACATGGCTATGGAGAAAGTTAGTGAAATGGAAGATGGGTTGGAAGAAAATAGCCAAAATAAAGAATGGAGCGATAAGAATATGGATAATATAGAAAATAAAGATATTAAGGGTATGGCTAGAGAGTCTCATATTTATTTATTTATTTAGAGTCATAGAGAGGAGAGAAAGAGAGTCAGATTTGAAGAGACAATGATTTATTTTCCCGAACTACTGAAATAAGCCAATTCACAGATTGAAGAGCCCACTGAATTTCCAGGAGAATAAAGAGAAAACTATATGAAGACACAATAGTAAAATTTATTCAAAGACTAATTCTTAAAGCAGCTGGAGTAGAGGGTTATTTTCTAAGAATGGCTGTATGAGAACTGACTTCTCAGCCGAAGTCTGAGCAGATGTCGTCCATGAACTGAAAGGACTATAGCTGTCAGCCTAGAGTCTGAAAAGTGAGAGTGTTAGGTGCTCAGTCGCGTCCGACTCTTTGCGACCCCACGGACTGTAGCCCACCAGGCCCCTCCCTCCATGGAATTCTCTAGACAAGAACACTGGAGTGGGTAGGTCTACATCCAGCAAAAAATATTAATATCCAAGAATGAATTTGAAAGTCCAAGAGGCCACCTAAATCTGATTGTTTTTTCTCACTGCTTCTAAGAAACTGTGTAATCAGGAAGGACAGCAGGCCAAGTGCACAGACCTCCCTTCGCCGCTTAACCAGGGACACCATCCCTGTGGTCTTCAGACCTCCCGGAAAGCGGCAGGTCAGCACTCCATCCAGTCAGCAGGGAGTCAGGTGGTCAGTGCAAGATGTCTGTGGGAAAAAGAGTGTCGGCAGGTCAGGGGAAAAGTCTGCATTGGGTGGAAGCCAGCTACGACTGTTGCCGGCCGAACAGACCGAACCCTTACCGTGACCCTGACCCCACATGTGTGTGTGGCTCAGTCGTGTCCGACTCCTTGCAGCCCCATGGACTGTAGCCCACCAGGCTTCTTTGTCCATGGGATTGTCCAGGCAAGAATACTGAGTGGGTTGCCATGCCCTTCTCCAGGGGATCTTCTCAACCCAGGGATTGAATCTGGGTCTCCTGCATCGCAGGCAGATTCTTTACTGTCTGAGCCCCCAGGGAAGCCCATGAATGCTGGAGTGGGCAGCCAACCCTTCTCCAGGGGACCTTCCCGACCCGGGAATCAAACCAGGGTCTCCTGCATCGCAGGCGGATTCTTTACCAGCTGAGCTACCAGGGACGCGCATCCGACACCCACAGACAGCGAGTAAATCTCAGCTGTTTCCCACCCACAGGGCACATCGTTGGTGGCCTGGCCGGGCTCCGGCCCGTGTGGTCCTCCCCTGGGAGCTCAGGCTGGTAGAGGAGGTGCCTTCAGGAGTTTGCTGGCCTGGTTCCTGTGAT